GCTGTTGCTAACAAACTCAAGAGTTGATTGCCTATAAATATTTTGACTTTTTTTTTTTTGGTCACACACATTTGAGCTGTTCAGTAGTGCCATTTTTTTTTACACAGCATTTGTTGTATAAATCTCTTCAGTCTCTATGCAACCTTCAGAATGAAGCTCTACTGCTTAGTTTGACTTCTACTCCCTTTCAAAGATAAGTGTTTTGTGAATTGAAATGTAAACTGAAAACACTTCAGTTATGCTACAGGGAACAACTGAGGTAAAGGGACAGCAGTATGGCTTCAATACTAATGAAATCTGACAACAGAAAGGGTCTGTGTAAAAATGAAAATAGGAAGGCTACAGTTTTTTCTACTACCTATCAATTTAAATGTAGAAGCATTTTGTTATTACGTGAATCTCTATTTTAATGGGCCAAACCTATTTCATACAGATTTGGGATTTTTCTCATGCCGTAAATTCTGTACAATGTATCCAGATTTGGTTCTCCTGGGGAGAAAGGGAAGAGACAGGTTGTCATCTGCAACTGTCAGTGTACTTCGTACCACTGCTTTTCGTGACTGTTAGGTTTTGAGATTCTCACGAGTTAAGATTGTGGTGGTATCAAAGAAAAAAGAGCCTTAAAGTTCAAAACCACATGGAGCCAGAATTAAGTGAAATGGATGTGCTTTAAACACCACAAGAAATACTGAGCTATTGCAGAGAGGCTGTTCAAATGAAAACTCTTATTTTGGTGCTTACTGCACCCTTGACTTAGCCTAGCATTGTTCTGTTAACAATGTGCTGTGAAAAAAACCTGAGGGACGGACACTTGGGTTACGAAGTGAAAATGGAAGGGAAGGGGGGGAAATTAAGTTGTAAACATTTTGACCTGCTTGCATGGATTTTCTTTCAAGATCGATGTAAGAATTTTGACTTTTTATATTCGAGAAATACCAGAATAAAATCTAAATTAGTCCTGTGGATGATGTAGTCATTCCATTGCAAATACTGCAACAGAAGTGTTTGTGCAAGTCTTCAATCCCATCTAAACTTAATTTTCATCTAATGTTTCCTACTTCTTGCCTTGTCCTTGGACTCAAGCTTTACTTAGTCTGGTGGAAGAGCCATCTGATGGGCTTACCCAGCACTGCTGCCCTAGCTCACTGTACAGCTCTCTGACATAGCTGCTGCCCGTAACAGAGATTTCTAACTCCAAATCTTTGTGCCACCTTCGTGCATATCAGTCACAGCATAGATGTGTATTAAATATCTGTACAATAACAGTGAGAGCAGCTGCATCAGACTGAACCAAAAGTCCATCTAGCCCAGTGCCTCCCTTCCATCAATGTGGGGACAAATGAGTAACAGGACAGTATTTGCCTCAAGTATCCCCCCTGTCTACCACCATTTGTAGCTCAGGTGTAATTTTTTTTGTTGTTCCAAGGAATAGATGTCTAATACCCACCCCAGCTTGGAAATTGCTGCCAGACTTCAGCCTGCTGCTGCAGACCTACCTCTTCTTACCTTGTTTTAAACTCACCTTCTTACTTGCAACACTCTTCTGGCCTCAATGCTGCTATGGCATTAAGCAAGACAATGCCTCCTTAGCTCAAGTGATGAAACCAGCACCACATTAACATTAGGACAGTGGTCCACACAAGGAATGGTATCACCTTTTAATCTGCAGACTCAGCAATCACAGGCATATCCCTGCCTGTGACGATCTCATTGCTATGGGCTACGTACCACCCCGGACACTGCTCTCAGACAATTTTCTTCATTCAAGTAAGCAGGAAATTATGTTCAAAGAGCTGTTTTGGAAGCTGGGGACCACTGAATGAGCCTGCTCTGTGATCAGTTGCTGCTTGCCTAATGGCACATACTGCACTTTCAGCAGCTCTCACTGGTAGCACTCATTCCCAACAGCTTTCCCTCATTTGTTGCCACCAATTCTGATGGAGGGACAGAATGAAGCACATACAGCAATACATGACACTAGCCAGACCATCACCTTCTGCACTTCCCTGCTCTCGGCCTACCTGTGACCTAGTGCCCATTAGATCCAGACAGACTCTATAACAAGACTTGTGTCCTAAGGGAGTTTTTGCTATCATTCAACTGCTTAATTCTCCTGAATGCTTCTTTCCTCCTTTCTGAGTAGGACACTAACATAACCTGTCTTTGAATAAGGCGGGCAAACATGCAAAGCAACTGAAGGAAGGAAAAACACCATTAGAATCACCTTACTGTGTCTTATCTGCCCTTGGTAACTGTGCATGGGACATGGGACCACAGACACCCTTCCATAAATGTACCAGTACCCAGCCTCAGCCTTCAGTGTTACCTATATAAAATGAGTAGCTGATGGGTAAACTACAGCAGCAGTACTTCTGAAGGCACACCAGGTATTTGGGCTGAGACAAGCACATGTGCTACAGCAAGCAACAACTGAACACCACACATGAAATCTTTCAGATTTACAACTGAGCTTGCAAGCCTTGGTAGGCAGCTTGGGTAGGAAGGTGCAGATAAGGCCTGAACCAAAAATACTCCTCCACTGCAGCTCTGAAGACAAGACCCCAGCTTCCACCAAAGTATCTGGAACAACCTTGCAACAAGTAGTGGAGTCAGAGATAAGTTTCTTATGTGAATTAATTATATATACCTTCTCAGAAAAAAATGAAGTAATAAAAATGCTTCTGTTACGTGCCACATTTGCATCAATCACTTTATCTGGGAAAGTTCATGCAGTGTGATAGACAGAAACCACAGGTACTGCACCTTCCAGTACTCAAGAATCCTTGAGGTAGAGAGCACTCAGTGTCTCAGTGATGGGCTGAACAACTCCCTAGCAACTAACAGAGCTAACTGATGCATCATACAGCTCCCTTTCCTAACACAGATCAGCCAGTGGGCAGTGTTCAGCTGACTGCTTCCATTAGAGCAGTCTTTCCCCATAGTTTTCTGTCCTGCAGACAAACACTCTACTTGCTCTCACCTAACCCCATCTAAGTGTCAAGGGGAGTTTATGAAAGCACCACAGGTAAGGCAGTCATGCTGTTTGATGCCACTTTTCTAATGTACTTCAATGCAACATAACATTTAGATACTTGCTTTAAAATCTTCCTGCACACTTCCACAGGAAAGGTTGCAATAAACTCTTCAAAAAAAGTAAGCGTGTAATTATTAACCCATGCCATGATGTAACACAGTTTAGCAAAGCTAAATCTATCAATTTGATTGCACTAGAAATTGTCCAAACTGCACATAAGTAGGAAAGTCTTGAACCAGACAGATTTAAACAGATGCAGGCCAAAAAAAGGGGGGGAGGGGAAACACACACACACACAAAAAAAAAAAAAAAAAAAAAAAAAAAAAAAAAAAAACCACCATCCTTTGAGCTGTGTACCAGAACAGTCTCTTCTGATGGCTTTTAGAACAGAGGTGCTGCTCTTCTCTCCCCTTACTATGGCAGGGAGAAGCCACAGCAGTTGAAAAGTGAGTTATAAGAGAAGTTATCATGGTTATCTTCCTTATTTTACCAGATGTTAAGAACTAGTAGGAAACTCCATTGCACACTGATGGCAGCCCACTACAGTTAAATGAAGCTCAGTGTTTAAGTAATGAATAATCACTCTTCCTTTTATTTCAGTGTCATTACATTACAGTCAAGACATGTTATTAACAAAACCTACCAGACATTTACTTTAACCCTCAAAAAAAAAAAAAAACAACCAAACCAAACCAAGAAGGAATGTATATAAATAGAGATGTCACAATTTTTTATGTCACTAGTCCATTAAGATGTTTCACAATAGTCTCGATGTGATAGAAATACACTTTCTTGAAAGCTATAGAAGCAATGTTTCACTTGGTTTAGACTAGTCAGCTAAAATACAAAAAACCTGTTCCATCAGGTCCAAATGATCATACACTTCACATCCATGAGAGAACATGGCTACACGTTAAGAAACCACCACTGAATGTTTATGCAAAACCAAAAGCCTTCCAATCCCTCCTCTTGATCTACAGGAAACTACCGCAAAAGTATTTTGCATGTGTGGCTGTAGAGCCCATGCAACAACCCAGGCTCAACAGCTACACAGTTACTACCCAAACACTAACATATAAAATGCAATTCATCACTCTTGCTCAGGATTTTAGGACATTTGACACATAGCACCAGTAATGGTAGAGGAAACCCATTTCCAATAGACACATACTAAAAACTGAGATAATACTGCTCCCTAAAAGATAGCTGCATTTGCTAATCAGCTGCAACGGCAGATGTAACAGAAATAACTGAATTTCACATAACAGCTGGGAATACACACCTGCTTAACTGAGGAAAAGGTTGTACCTAACTGGCTTTGAAGAATTTAGCCTAAAAGTTTCACATGTTCCTCGGCATAAGCTGGAATGAAATTCCCAGCTTGACTTTATACAGGGCTCTTAAATCAGGTTTAAAAGTAAAATAAGTATTATTTAATATACATCATCTGGGTCTGGATTCATCCCACCTATGAAGTTTCATTGTTTTAAGTGCCAGCTCAGGTCCAGTTTCTCTACTGAAGGAAGGGAAAGCCACTTTCAAACAGGATGCTTAGATGGGTCTGACTGTCCTCTGGGGGTGTCACTCACCCTTGGGCGAGAGACAGCTGAGGAAAGCTGCATATGTGGTGTAACGTAAAGCTTTAAGAGGTAGGAGAAGTGAATCCAGAGCCTACAGCTCACTTATTCTCAGCTGCCTGCAGTGAAAGTTGTCTGCGCTAACAGAAGCTATGGGACATCCGCCAGCTAAAGCCAAACACACGCTCGTTTGTAAGGAGAAGGCAGGGTTAATGGTGCTTACCCAAGCTGAAGGACATGTCATGAGCCCTGAACACAACTTTGGCTTACATTCAACACAGTTTTTTTATAAGTCAGTTTTGTGAAAAAGCTGAATTCTGAACTAAGCTTCAACCATGTTACAGAGGACGTTGAGGGACAATACCGGTCACTAACCACTGAAAGCACTGTCTGTTGGAAAACGTAGTTTTTAATAGATATTCTTCATCTTACATAAGAGCACAATAAATACACCACATTCTATAGAAATTTCAGATGACACGAGTAAGAAGAGGTGAAAGAGGGAGAATACCAACAGACTACATAACCATACCCCTGAACTGCATGACAAAACACCCCCTACTGCAACCACTACAAGCCATCATTTATACACTTCAGGTTGGCCTCACCAAAAGCTTTTAAGTTTTTATTTTTTCCTTTTTTTATTTGTTTGTTTGTTTTTGTGAGGGAGAGGGCTTAGGGAAACAAAGAGAATAGAAACACAAGAAATGAAGGGAAGCGATTAGATGGGTTCCCAGAAAAGATCCTGGGTTCCCAGACAAGATGCATACACAAAATACAAGGATGAGAAGGAATTTGTTCATCACTTTCCTTCCCTCCAATAAAGAAGCTTTGTTGCTATTTAAGATGAGCAGTTGCTCAAGTAAGTAGCTTAATAAGGCTTGTAGAGAAAACCAGTGTTATGAGGTGCTGGCTGTAAGTGGTTAAGCAGACATCAGTCAATACACAAGCTGGCTATAACAGTGGTTCTACACACTGGTTTTTCATGTTAAGAGAGGGCAGGAATTAAAGTAGTTAGAAAACCGTGCTGCATAACATCTGATGACAATCAGCAATGAGACGTTATGTAGATACTCATAATTAGTGCTGTCGTTTTCTCTCAACCTCCTACTTCATTCTGGTTATTTCCATGAAAATACATATAGACGCATTACTAAAATTATGGTTACAATTGTTACATCAGACTCGTTTCTAAAAGTCACTCCAAATGCAATTTCATGTTAAATTGACCAGGTAAGGTCACCCACATAACACAAACTATTAAAAAAAGTCAGCAAACGGAAGCAAAAAAAAAAAAAACCTTGTGAACTCCACCTCTTTACTGTTTAATCTGTCAGACTGGTGAAGACAAATTGTCAACTCTGGATTCAATTTTTTTAAATACGATTGTCACATTAGAGAAATGAAAACACAGCAAAATAAACTGTACAAAGGCAAAGTAGAATAACAAAAAATATTTTACTAAAACATAAGATTTACAGGAGATTTTCCAGACAAGCCATACAAAATGGTCACAAGCTTTTTCTTGGAGGGATTTTTCTACACTTGAAAGCAGAATCACAATATTATTAGTGAAGGTGGTGGATGTTTAATGTTCCCATTTTTTGTTCAAACAATGAAGCTTGTCCATCTACAGCGTCTAAGTTAGACTGGGCTAGAGGGTATATTCTAAAGTATAACTGGTTAGCTGCTTTTACCAATGCAATTAGCATCACCATAAAAAGGGAGGAGGAGCCCACAAAATTAAAACAAAAAGCCCCGCAGCTAACCCTGCCTACCTTCATTCACAGTGCTTATACTTAAACCATGACGGGAAAAATGATTAAAAGCAGAGATGTGCTGCTGCTTTCAAACAATTTCACAACAATCCAGATGATACTTCTAGCCTCTGCTCATGCGGTACAATAGTGAATTAGGACAAGACACAGATTTGCTAATGTGCATTTAATCACCAAAGGACTGAAGATGTCTGGGCTTTTATTCTGTAATGTTTCTAAGACTGTGTCCATTAAATGCAAACAAAAAAAGGAAGAGGTCTTGGCAGAACAGGAGAAGTGATGCACACTTGATGTTCAAAGCGCATTTAAATATTATTCATGGCATATAGCCTAGTCCATGCTCTGGCTGTAAAGAAAAAGAAACACATTTAAGAAAAGATGTATTTTTCAGGCTTGATTAAAGGAATTTCAAATACATATTTTTAAAGATCTCTTTTTATATCACTGCTGCAAGCACACAAAATATATCAGTTCTGAAATTTTAAAGTGCAATTTTGAATTCCAGCAGCTGTCAACTTTTGTACATTAAAGAAGCAGCCCGACAGCAGTGGATCCAAAAGTGAAGAGGCATAACATAGTAATTCGATCCACTATAGCCTGCAACAGAAGCAGGTATCAAAGAGATGTACTTTTTGGAACCTGATAATCTGTTCCTTAAGCTCTAGAGGAAAAGCAGTGATGTGCTTTTTCATTTTACCACAAATGCAAATTAGACAGGCTAACAAATTCAAACCATGAAAACTCAAGCCTCACAGGTTTGAAAATAGAACATTTAAGGCACATGTAGGGTACCTGGACTATGACAGTACACAATAATTGTTTCTGCAAGCTGCAAAGCTGCAGACATAAAACAGGAGGTCAGGATTTACATCCCCCAGCCAGTGAGTAAAGAGCTATTCCTGAAACAAGAAAAAAAAGAAGTATAAGATAATCACCTGTTTCTATGGCTTGGGCTTCATTGGTCTTCCATTGCTCAGCTACATCATTTGCTAGTGGATCATCTGGATTGGGAGCGCTTAACAAAGCCTGGATTGATAGCAGAACTGTACGAATCTGCAAAGCTGGGGACCATTTATCTGAAGAGACATTTATAGCACTATGAAACACCATATTCACCATAGTCTACAGAAACAGCAAGTTTTCCGGATAAAGATATTCTCTAAACATATGAAAACTCTTTTTAGGGTCAATTTAAAAATTTCTCTACTTAATAAGATAAAAAGAAAGTAGCACACAGTAGCACTTACCTTTCAAAATATCTAAACATATTCTTCCCAGCTTGTCTACATTAGGATGGTAAATTTTGGTCATGAAACGTACTTTAGGAGCTGCCATTGGATATTCTTCTGGAAGGAATAGTTCAAGTTTAAATGTCCCACCCTCGAAGGGGGAATCCTGTGGACCTGCAATGACCACATGAAAATAGCGTGCGTTGCTTTCATCTGGCTCTGCTTTTATCCCAGGGACTGGCTCCGCCAGCAAGCGCTGGGTTTCCTAGAAGAAGAGGAGGCAATGTAACAAATACAACCCATGTCAAATAAACATGACCTGTACAAACCATTTTAAAAATAATAAGCATTCATTCTGCCTACATTCAGAGAAACAATGATAGACAAATACCTTAAAGCCAAATAATACCTGCAGAAAGAAGACGAGGCTGCGGTAAACTGGTACTCATCTCCTTTTAGATCCCTCACCTGCTGTGTGTGCTTCTGTAGCACTCAGTAACAGATAACAATTCAGCTGTCCTCAAATTTCTTAACTTTTGGTTAAACTACTGCCAAGGTGCTATATTTTTCAATATACTTAAAAGCACGTTAAAGAATATCACAATGAAAACACCAAAGCATTTCCCATTCTACCTTAAATAGAAACTCCTCTAAGTGAAAAGCCAAAGGTATTAATCACTCACATAAAATGTTCAAGGTTTACTCTAACAAGAGTGAACTGGTTTATTAAGCTGAACATTTGTACTGGAATCAGATCCAACATCAAAGACTTTAAAGTGCTACTCTGCTGCAACACTGTGTGTTTTAAGGATGTTTTATATATTTACACATATACATGCATAAATAACACAGCTTTGGTGTGAGCACTTTCAGCCTAAATAGAATCATGTTTAAAGTCACCATAACAGACAGTAGGAGACAGTTAAGTTGTTCTATAAGCAGCAAACTTAGGGAAGGCTGGTTTCCTACAATGACTTATATTCTTTGTTACTCAATTCTTCTGCCTATAGCACCAATCCTACCACGGGCACAAGCTGTGACCACAGGTAAGAGCTGCCCACGTTCTGATCGTTCATCCTGCTAATGCACTGAGCAGACAGACCAAGTCCTATACATCTTTCCCTCTCCTGTGCCAGCCTTCACAAGCCTTATGGACACCATTCTACTCCTTATAAAAAAGAACTCGAGGCCAAAATAGGCAAAAGGACATTAGGCAGGGACAAGAAATCCTGCTGAAGCCTTATTTGCTCGCGTAATTTCTTATTTTTCTTCAAGCTTGCTTTTACTATGCACAGTTCAATTTTTCACCACCTTTCTGTGTTGGGTTTCACAAAGAAAAATTATCTGTTTCTACTGACAAAAAATGGCAACTTGTAGGTGTAACAATTTGATTTATTACTTCAGTTTTATAGAATATTTATTCCATATGCCTACAATAATAATAATCATAAAATCAAAAAATGGTCTGGGTTGGAAGGGTCCTCAAATATCATCTAGTTCCAAACCCCTGTGATGGGCAGGGACACCTTTCACTAGACCAGATCGCACAGGGCTCCATCCAACCTGGCCTTAAGCACTTCCAGGGATGGGGCATCCACAGCTTCTCTGAGCAACCCGTTCCAGTGCCTCACCACCCTCATAGCACAGAATTTCTTCCTAACATCTAATCTAAACCCTCTTTCAGTTTGAAGGCATTCTTCCTTGTCCTGTCAGTACATGCTGCTGTAAATACTCTCTCTCCAATACAATAAGTCTCTCTTTAATACAAGTACAAAACAGACAGATTACCTCTCCTTGGCTTCATAAATTCTTTGAACATAACTGGGCTGTTACAATACCATTTTGTAGAAATAAATGTACACAGCATTTAAGCGATATGCCTGTCTCGATGCAGTTAAACAACACCTCACATTACAAAAACTAATCAATATCTAAAGTGAAGTCACAGTAATTAATGCCAAAATTCAATTACTCATCTCTGAATTGTCAGGGTCCTACAAATCATAATACTGACATTATTACTATGTACATATGCAAACCTAAAAATAAATATATCTGGTCTACTTCCTTGTTTTGCCTACTTATCTTCATAGACATTAGCTGCCAATGCCACTCATACACCTTGCTGGAAGGCCATCCAAGCTTCTTTGAGCTGTCTACATTCACTTCTATGAGTATATTTTAAATAATACTCAAAAATTTATAACTTACTCATTCGTACGCTGTTGGCTATTTACTTGTACACTAATGATGTAGAAAAGCAGTTATAACAATTTCTGATAGTTTATATTCAGTGGTATGAAAAGTCAGTAAGAAACTATAGATTATCCCTGTAAATGCATAAAACATTCTCAGGTTCTTTCGGCAAGTTGTCAGTATGAGTGCTGCCACAGGTAAATGGGACAATTTGGATTTCCGTCTATGAAGGACCATATACTTATCGACAGTTCTGCATGAGGAAAGTGTCTTATATCAAATGCAAATTAATGCAGCGAGTTCAAATCAAAATTTAAAAATAAGGAACTTAAGGAAAAGACCAATTCTTAAACTTCTTCACAGCTGCTACCATTTGGACTTCGCCAGATATGCTTGTAGGCAAATTGTGGCTTTGGTTCTGATGGGCATGCTAGAGGCTTTTTTTTTTTTTTTTTAATATTAAAGATAACACATTTTAATAGCTGGGCTGATCTCAGCAGTCCCTTGCTCCCCCCCAGTCCCTCTGGTCCCCAGACTGCCTCCCTAGTTATGCCAGTATGCTGACTGTAACAATACTAGGCAGCCAATCCTGGCTTAAAATAACCCAGAATCAGCAGTTCTCTGGCAGTAGCCTCAGCACTTCTACCTGCCAGCATAACTGAGGAAGCAATGCCTAGCTGCAAGCTGCACATTGTGCCACTAAAAACCATTTGTCAGGAAACAAAGAGAGAGCCCATATATGGGAAAAACAGTTCTTTTAATCAACACACCCATAATACTGAAGGGGCTATCCCACTGCTAGTGTCATCCCTTTCAGGGAGATCCTTTATGCCCCCACATTACATGGGTGTGGTCATCATGCTATAAAATCCCACAGAAAAGGGGAGTGCAAAGAAAAGCACAGCCACACTAGTACTGAGGCTACTCTGAACCCACAGCTCCTTGGGGAACATTACTATTACATGAAAAATCCTTTAAGCAAGCACATCTTTTTTCCTGCGCTGTGCATGGAGCTCCATCACTACTGGGATAATTGAAGCTGTTTCCAAACAGAAATGAGGAGGAATATTTGCAAGAAATCTGTGAGGGAATTGGTTGACACTCATCTTCCACACCTGCCAGGCTCTGACACAGTAGAGAGCAAGCACCAGGCTAAACTTCTCCGATATAGACAAAATGCTTTGAGCAAAAGCTGAGAAGCATCTTTGCTTCAAAAAAGGTATCTTTTTAAAACGCTATAACAAAGACAAGTCTGTTAAGACTACGAAAAACCCAGGAGAGATGCCATTTATTAAAAGAAAGTGTCATGTTTGTACTTAAATACATCAACACCACCTCCTAAATTCTGAGAGTAACTAAGGTTTTTGTCCTGCAGTCATGAAGACATTTATAATAATATCTTAAACATATTTTGGGGGAAACCATGGAAAAGGAACAGAAAGGGAGAAATTAATCAAAAAGTTACATTTTAAGGTTTAAGCACATAAAATGCTTAGACGACTAGGCCCAGTTCTAAGGTGATTACAGAGACTTGATTTTGCACATTTTACAGTAAGATGGACAGTTACAGACATGCAGATACTAAAATAAATTTGATTTGCCACAAAAATTGGAGAAATAAGTAATATTTGAGAGAAAAAACTGTGAGCATACAGGGCAACACTATGCACCAGGTCAGGAAACAGAATTGCCTTGAGATTTTAATTTTTTAAGTGTACATTACCAAATTAAAAATAAAACCCAGAAAAACCACACACATCAAAACAAAAAAGAAACACCTATCACCCTGTAAATCACCCACAAGAGAATCATGAGATGCGAAGCAAACAAGGAAATGTTTAACTACATATTAATCTTATTCTGTAACTTCATACTACTTTTCCCAGAGGATGGCTACTGAATGAAGAAAATCTCTCAAACACATTCAAATAAATAAATCTCTTCTAATTAAAATTTTAGATTCTCACCTTTTTAAACTAATCAGGACAATCAAGCATATGCAATACCCGACTTTTCCATATCTTTTTAGGCAAAGTCTTTCTAACACTTTTTTAGCTGAGGAAGTGAGTTTTATGCAATGTTACTTCTTCCTTTCTCCCCAAAACTGCCTTTGAACCCTTTGTCCAATTTCACATGTTCTGTACATTTTGTAAGCTGTCAGTGACTGAGACTAACCAAGCTCAGTGCTACTAAAGAGGAAGACATGAACTCCGATACTACTACTGCTGCTTGGCCAGTTTATTCCAATGAAGTATATACTAACCTTGCCCAGCAAAAATCCCTGCTAATAAGGATAGAAAGAGCTGGAACACTCATATATAAACATGCTAGAAAGGATAAAGGATAAATCTGAGAAAACTGGGCTTTGCACTTCTGCTGCTCACAATAAATGTTTTTACAATAGAACAGTTAATTTTGTCTTCTTGAGAACAGAAATTCCCATCAAGTAAGTGTTCCGGAACAGTAATTTGTAGTGGTTTTTATTACCTCTCCTCTAACATATTTAAGTAAGTTTCACAGAAGAGATTTCAGGACATATTTTGAGCTCTACGGCTTTTAATGAAGTGTCCCATGCTGCCGTAGGCAGTTATTTCTATTTGTCATACTCTGCAATGTTTTTAGATTGAGATCTCTTCTCGATCCCACATTTACTCCACTTTTTCCAATTCCAAATAATGTCATAATTTCCATTGACTAAAATAAATTAACAAATCCAAAAGGAAGATATATGCCAGTCAGTACTTCAAAAAAATAAATCAAAAAATCTTTCATTCACAACTGATTATGCTTCCCCTCCCAATTTTATCTTTTTTATTTTTAATTAAGTAGTTAGAAAATACGGAAGTGTTGAAAGTGCTTTGACAAGCAGACGCTAAGCTTTCCTGATTATCACAGGTGGCCTGAAGCAAAGTGACAGATGATACGGATGGGACAGATGGTGTAGCTGACATTCTGCATAGCTATTCTTCTATGAAGACATTAAATTGAAAACTAATTGTACCTGAGGGGGAAGAAGCTCTCAACCTGTTTTTACAATAACCTGTGAGGACAAGAAGCCTCAGGAAGAGA